TGGAGGAAAAGAATAGGCATCTACAAAAGAGTATCATACTGGGTGTGGTGGTACACACCCATAATCCTAGTACTAGGGAGGCTGAGGCAGGAGGATTTTGAATTCAAGGCCAGCTTGGGTTATGCAGTGAGACACTACCTCAAAAAGTAAAATAAGGAGCAAACAAACAAACCTAACCATGAACATCATCCTTAGCATTCCACGGTGAAGTGGTCAAGTGGAGATGGAGCGGGAGGAGTGGGGAGGGAAAGAGTGTGGCTGACGGGCAGGAGGCGCCAGTGGTGCGCGAGGGCAGTGGAGAGGCGCATCTGAAGGCCCCGGACATGCCAAACCATTTTCTGAGGCCAGGCCATCCCTGGGTGGGATTCTGTGTTCCCGAGGTGTCTCTAGGCAAGTGGGGACGGGGGACAGAGGTTGAGGTTTTCTCTGTGACAGTTCCTGACTCCTGTCTCTGCTTCCCACTGTCCTTCCCATCTGCAGCCAGATGACGGGGCTGTTCCGGCAGATGAGCACCAGGACCAGAAGAAGCTGAAGGTGGGTGCTGCGCGGAATCTGCCAGTGGGGACATCGCAGGGTCTCTGCCTCAGCACTGTGGACCCTGGCTAGGCTCAGGCCTGGGGGCACCTGTGCTGCCAGGAGCTGTCGGCTCTCCTCAGGTGACCTTCCCTAATTTGGGAGCTACGTCCTGAACATTACAGCAGGCCCTGTTACTGGCCCACGGCCTCAGGTTCTACATCTGTGAGATGACTCTTTGGCCCAGATGAACCCAAGTCCGACTTTACAGCCCTGTCTTGTATGGTTGTGTGATATAAAAGCCCAAAGACTTGTGGTTTTAGACTGCTCTGGAACCAAGAGAAAAACATGAGGAGCACTGGAGGGAAGGGGGGTCCAGGACAGTGGCGGCCTCACTCACTGTCTTTGGCCTGTGGGTTATGCATGGAAAGAATTGTGGGGACTTTGAAAGCAGCAGCTGGGGCCTACGACCTCCCTTGTCCACAGGAAATCTCCGCTCCTACTGTGAGGTGTCACTAGAGCCACTAGATGGCAGAAGGGTTTAGACAGAGAGGTGAGGGAGACCCTGCGCAGGTGCCAAGCGCTGCCTAGGGATGCTCCATTGTAAATCAGATGGCCTTTCTATGGGTGTCACTATGAATAAGTGCGTGTCACGTCTGTCTGTGTACAGTAGAGACGTGTGGCTGCCCGTGAAGGCCTCTGAGCATGCGGTAGGAAATAAAACGGGGCTGGCAGTCAGCAGACTTGGGTGCCTGTCTGACTTCTGTTTGCTCCCCGTGTGTGTGACCTTGGGTTCACCTCTTGGCCTCTTGGAATTTTCCTTCCTATTCTGTAGGTGGGGGGATCACGGCCTTGCTTCTCGCTGGAGGTGAGGCAATGAAAAAAATCATGGTGCTCTGTGGACCGTAAAGGGCTGTGCCCATGCGCAGAGGGTTGTCTGCGGGCTGTGGGCTAGAAGGTGTTTCTAGGAGGATGTACTTGGGTAACGCGGGGTGCTTAACCTATGTGGTCTGCTTTCACTAAGCACTTGGGGCTTGTGCAGGACATGGTGAGCCAGTCCAGAGGGGCAAGTGGAGGCTATGGAGGAAGCAGTGTGGGTGAAAGAAGTGGGGAGCCCAGGAGCAGGGCTGATCCCCGATCCCTGCAGGTAGGAAGCAGCGGTGTGTGTGGCTCCTCCCTGGTCGGGCAGGGGCCCACTGAGGCCTCTGTGGCTCTCCCCTTGCTCAGTTCCCGTTCGCGCTGTCCCGAGGGAGCAGCTCAGCCTCGCTGCACAACAGCACCATCCGCACCACCATCTACCAGCTCATGCTCCACAGTCTGGACCCCATGGGGGAAGGTAAGCAGGGCCCCCACACCTGCTGGCCTGCCCTCCTGCGGTTGCAGAAGCACTGGGACTTGCAGGGGTGAGAGGCAGTGGGCTGGGGGGGGGGAGAGAAGAGCAGCAGGGAGAAGAGTGGGAGGTACATGTCAGACAGCTGGGGAGACAGGGAGGCGACAAGGTAGGGAACTCACCAAGAGAGGGCACATGCAACATGGATGCTAAAGTTCAGGTTCCTGGTCTATCCTGGGCCAGCCCTGAGTCCCACAGAGCGTCTCTAGCCAAGTGGCCGGTTACGTCCAGGACAACCTCCTCTAGGACCCACAGCCCAGGAGCTCGCCTCAGTTCTTCGCGCTCAACTCACACCCTGCCAGGAATCCTGAGGGCCACCCTGGAAGCTGCTAGGGATGTGTCCGAGGTTGGGGAGCAGAAGACTGCATCCAAAGCGCAGGGAGCACCACCTCTGAAGTTGCCAGCTGACAGCAGTAGCTAGGAGCTGCACCACCTGCCTTGCAAGCCCTGCCTCTGTCTCCTTTTCCAGAGAGCTGCCCAGCATGCTCCTTGGGCTCTGATGGTACCCTATGGAGCCAATCCTACTCTCCTCAGCTCCATTCTCTGGGCCTAAGCATGAGGCCACTGGAGAAGGGCTGGCCCCTTGGGGATGGCCATGGGCTTGGGGTGCAGTGGGCAAGACAGCTGAGGGCTGAGCCAAAAATGAAAGGGTAGAAAGAGCCCTGGAACCTGGGAGCACCCTGCCTTGCCTTGCCGGTTCAGAATTTTGGAGGTTTAGAATTTTCATCACACACACTGGGGGTCAGGTTTGTTTAAACCAAGTATACTGTCCTGTGATAAGCAGCATCAAAGACAAGGTGATGGAAAGCTCCTGAGAAGCTCCCCAGGTGAGAGGGGGCACCCATGAGGATCAGCTCCAGAGAAACAGGGCCTGGGGCTTCAGAGCTCAGTGGGAAGCACCGGCAGCCTCTGGGCGGTGAGTGCTGGGGCATCTGTGGCTGGTCACTGTGGAAAGCTGTGATTTGCTCACTCTTGGCCATTCCCAGAGGAACCACTGACTCTGTCCTTAAGATAAAGACCCAAATGGAGCCAGGGTTCCCTTCCTGGGCCATTGCCATGACCAAGTTCCCCGCTGGCCTACTTGTCCTAATGGGATTATGTGATGTCCAGGCCAGGCGGAGCACAGAGGAGATTGATGCTAAGGAGATGATCGGCTGCAGGGAGAGGGCATGTGAGAAGGCACTTTGGGAGCTGCCAGTTACCCAGGGAGACCAGCATGCTTGGTACGCAATCCTGCTCAGAGATCCACTGACTCTGCACCCTCAGACTCTGTCCCGGAGAGACTGGGGCCTCCCAGGACCTCCCTGCAAGACTCTCCAGACATGTTTTGTGTGCCACATGCTATTTCCAGATGGCCATCCAGATGTTTCCTGGGCTCTGTTCCACAGAACAGAGCATAAAAGAGGCACCTGTGGTCTGCACATCAGCTTCCATGACGGGGTTTTCCCGCCTAGGACTCTGCCTCTCCTGGCAGTTTCCCTAAGCAGTGTGCGTGGAGACCTGCACCTGCCTGCTCCTCTCAGGGGTGGGGCAATGGGATGCAAGGGCTTGTGATGAAGCGAGTAAGGGAGCTTAGTGCTTCTTGCCAGTCCCTCCAGTCAACAGCCGGCTCGGTACACGTTCTTGATACCAGGACAGGAGCTGAGGCATCTTCCACAGGACAGCTATACTCTGCTCAATGCGGACCACAGATCACAGGGCTTGATCATCGCCCAGGGGGCATGAGATGTCTGGATGAGGGAGGCAGTGACCTGCCATCTTGGTTCCTAGGAGGATCTGTGGGACCACTGGACACTTTGAGGGACCCCAGGCACCACAGCAGTGGTTCTGAAGAGGCAGCTATGGTTGTGCCAACTTGGACAGTTTAGGGGACAGGAGGAGAGGGCGAAATTCCAGAACAGCTTATGTATTTCCTGCCCCACCCCCGACAGAAGCTTTGGGCCACCCAGCTTCTTGGCCTGTACTGCCTCAGTTTCCTCACTGGTGTCTACATCAGGGACAGGATCTCTCTGAGGTCCCTTAGAACTCAGACCTTCTGGAACACTGGATCTTGTTGATGAGGGTTGTTTCCTGGGTGGGAAAGCAGCTCTAGCGACTGTATTAACACCCTGGTCACAGAGCTTATAGCACCCACCCCTTGCATAGTGGCTCCTGGGGCCAGGAGCTGTTTCAAACACACTCATACATGGAGTGACTTACTCTGTTGACAGATCTAGAAGATTTTTACTGATGAAGTCTCAGGTCCCGAGAGCTTAAGGAGCCACCCAGCTAGGTCCACAGCTATGGTACAAGTGACAGAGCTGGAGCCACAGCCCTGATGCCCGGCTGAGAGTCCATGCTAAGAGAGACCAGCACTTGGCACCGAGTGTGTCACAGGGTTGCCTTGCAGGGAGAGCACAAGCACCCCAGTGCCCACGGCGCACAGTCAGCCCAGGGCCTCGCACACATGGCAGGCACTTACCACCTCGCACTTGTGCCATTTTCTGCGCCCCCTTCCATATCCCGGGCGGCACTGGGAGCAGTGTTCTCACGTACTACTGCCTGTCAGACTGTCTCGCTTTCCTCTCCTACCTTGAAAGGACGGGAGTAAAAGGCCTCACACATGCCCTGGAACACAGTCACCTTGAAGGACGCTGCCATCCCTGGTCCCTCCTGAAGCCAGGGCCACCCCACTGAGTGCATGTTGTTCCGTGGCCTCCAGTGCACCACAACTGGACGGTCTGCTCTAGCTCCTGGTGTCTGGGGCCGAGTGCTTGCTGACTGACTGGAGAGCAGCGGCCTGTGAGCACGGCTGCCTGCTGTTGCCCTGGGAAGCGTGCCTGCTCAGCTGACTAAGCAGTGGGGACAGTAGGGACAGCACACAACAGGGACAGGACAGTGGTCGTAGATGTGTTTCCTTTCTCGTTTGCAGCCCGCCCCTCCAAGGACAAAGAGAGTATGACTCATGAGGCCAGAGCCCAACCCCAGGTCAAAGCAGAGAGCAAAGCAGAGAGCAAAGCAGAAGGTGAGAGGAGGGCCAGCCCAGGGGGTTTTCTCCTGCTACCTCCCGCCTCCAGTCACCACCAGCCCCAGGTCAGGCATTCAGGCTCCTGGCTTAGCCTTTCTGAACCTGTCAGTCCCACAGAGACAATCAGCCTGCCCTGGTGCCTCCTCCTCATGTGCGTTTTCCAACATGGCTGCCCTGAGTACGCTCCACTGGCCTTCTCTGTGTTCTCCTTGAGGGGCAGGTAAGGGAAGGCCAGGGCCTTGTTGAGCTCCCACTTGTTTTTGCAAAATCTCATTCCAAATGAGACTCTGTTGGACTATTTGTTTTTCCTGTCACTTCTATACAAGGACTGTGTTACCAGTGACTGACCTGAAACCAGCAACCCCAGATAGCGAAGGCTACCAGGGGTGTGGTGACACAGAAATCCAGAATGAGGTCAGAGTCAAGTGACTTGCCCAAAGCCACACAGCTAAGATGTGAGAGAGCCTGTACTTGAACAGCTCTCCAGCCTTTCCAAGTCATCCTTAAGCTCAATCCTCTTCCATGGGCCTGCCTTTGAAATCAGCAGGATTCTTTCTAAAGGATCCATTAGACCCCGAGCACCGGGAACTTTGCACATTCTCTGCTTCTTGTGTCAGAGCTGCTCACAGCATCCATGGCCACAATGGCAGCAAAGTCTGGATACAGAGGAGCAGGGGTGGTCATGTTCCCTCTGCACCTGTCAGGAGACAGGGCAAGGACCAGTCACATCACAATCATCTTACTTTCCTTACCAAGAGATTTCCCAAACAGATCTCCTGAGTCTCCGCTGCCCTGAAGCCACTTACCAGCTTCTGACCTAACCCATGTTTGTCCTTTAAAGAGGAGGAGCCAGTCGAGCTCCCTGCGGTCACGGTCACACCAGCCCCTGCTCCAGACATTCAGGGAGATGAGGAGGAGGATCCTGGAGGCCAGGTAGGCGCTCAGTTTCTGCATAGGTGGAGGGATTTAAGAGGTCCAAGGAAGGACTTTCTAGCCAAAAATATGTCCTCCCCGGAGGCCTGAAATCCTATGTGAGGTTTAGTTATACAGGGTAAGCTTTACCTTTCTTTGAAATCATTTGAAAAATACAGGGATCTCCTGGGGCCAATTTGCTGTGAACATCTTGTACTGTGAGGTGCCACACGCAGTGAGGACGTAAGGAATGGCCAGACAGTTCGTCAGCAGTGGGGACAGTGAGACAAGCCAGCTCCAGACACCAGGGGGCTAAGATGCAGGAGCAAGGTGCCTTAGAACCTTCCAGGTCCTGCTGCTTCTCATCTGCAGAGTCCTGACGCTCTGTCTTTACAACCTCCCCTTCCTCCATGCTCTGGTCAAAGTTAGTTTCTTGTCTGTGTGCTTTTTTTGTCCCTGGGACTTGGCCCATCTTCAGATTATCTCATCTTTTCTTGCTTCCCAGGCCCAGCGTAAATGGCTCCTTTCCAAGGCAGCTTCCCTGGGCACCCCAACTTAGAAGGATGCTTTGCATCTGTCCTGGGCCTCCTAGCCCTGCTCCCTCTGTATTTAGAGCCTCTGAGGGCAGGATTGTCTAGACCATCTCAGTCTATCCTGGAGGGAGATGTCCAGTGAAGTGACTGATGGTAAATAAACATTCAGTCTGCAAGTTCCATCTGTTTGGGTTTTTATTCAACACCCAGCAGCACTATGCTTCATCCACAACTCTGTTCTTTAGGGTTCAGCATCAAAGCCATCTTCCTGTATCCTGAGTAAGCCCAGCATAGCCACCCATGTGGGAAGGGTTAAAGGATATAGAATCATATGCAAGGAGGCTTGGTCTCAAAAGGCCGTAGGCTGGTGAGGGCCTCTGTGACCCGAGGGCTTCTCCTTCCTTTTGCTGCCCTCCCTCAAGGCCCCTTCTCTGTGAGCAGGCTCTGTGTCTTGTCCTCTCTTATCAGCCTGGCTTCAAAGTTTTCCTTATTGGTGTACAACACTGAAGTGTTGCCCCATCCACATTCCATAGGGGACCAAGCAGATTGGTTCTCGGTCTTTTTTTGGGGGGAGGGTACAAGGAATTGAACTCAAGACCTTGTGCTTGTCAGGGAGGTACTGTGCCACTGAGCTGTATCTCTGGCCCCATGGCTCTTTGTTCAACCAAAACTATAGGCCAGGAATCTAGCTCCTACACAGTCAGCCATGGCCAGGGATTGGGGTGCCTGGATTCCAAGTGGAAGAAAGGAACCTTCAGTTTTGCTGGGGCTATTGGGGGTGACAGTCCTCAGAGATGACAGTGTTGTATTTAATGATTTAATTATATGTCATCTCCTCCAGAAAATCTATTCTTGATGAGAACAGAGAGCAAGAGTTATTTCCGCCTAAAATCCTCTCCTCTATCCCTAAGTTCAAGCACAGTCAATGGTAATAACGGCTTCTCCAGTTCTCAAGGGATGGCTGTACATTAGAATAATTTGGGGAAGTTTAAAAAATTGGCTCCATCTCAACCAATAAAGTTAGAGGATCTGGGGTTGGTCCTTAGGCATCAGTGGTTTTAAAAGATTTCCAGTGATTTCAGTACGCAGCAGAATTCAGAATCACTAACTGTCCTTTGGGGGCACTGTCAGTACTGTGGCATCCGCTACAGAAGTCATATTTGTGTTTACTCCACGAACTCACAGCCCAGGTAATTGCTCAGGGGCCTGGACTAGCACGGTATAGGTTAGCTGAGAAAGTACTGTGAGGAGCCTGAGGGTGCGTGACTTCAGTGTGGACAGTCTGCGGATCCTGAACAGCCGTGTGCAGATGAGGGCATCAGGAGCCTGCGGAATGCCTTAGGTCACTGGCATCCAATCCCAGGATCCTATTTCAACTGGTACACGAAGACCAGGAAATCTGTATTTCTCATGAGCTCCCAGGTCATCAGGTTTTGGAGCCGAAGGTCACATTCAGTCCTGGCACTTATCTGTAAAGCAAGGTGACTTGGGGTGAAGAGTAAACAACTGGACTATACCTAGTCAAATCCCAACCTTGTCACTTGCAAACTCTGTAGGCCATAAGCAAATTCTTTATCTTCTGTAGACCCTAATGTCCCCATCTGTATATAATTATAATGAATATAATTATATTGATATTATGAATTAACTGACTCACAAGTTGTGACAAATGCTATTACTAACAAGCCAATTATCATGGTGCCTGGCACATAAATATATGCACTACACAGTATCATCAGTTGGCACCTACAAGGTGCCATTGCTATGCTGTATGTAACGATGCGAGAGTTAGTGGACTCCGCAGGGTGTCGTAACTGCCGAAGGATATCAAGGCAGGTTAGGCAACGTAATGGGAGCCTGGTATCGAAGACAAGGGAGCTGATGGACTGAGTCCACTCTGCGCATGCTCCGTGTTCCGTTGGGTCCGTCCTCTCAAAGGGCAGAGAATGAGTGGAGGAGTGACTGAAGGTCTGGGGATCTTTTTTTTTTTTGGCTCAGGATGCCTTCAGGCCAGGTTTAGTAAGGCTTGAGGATCTGGGGATCAAACCACAGCAACCTGAGCCTGACTGCTCTGTTTAAGCAGTCAAGGCCTGGGGATCTTTAGCCCAGGCAAGACCGCTGTCCTGTGGAAGGGTAATTCGGCTTGTTCTGGCAGAAGTTTGATATAAACATCAAATCAAGTGAAGTGTCAAAGATGGCATAAACTGCTTTATGTGGACAGTTCTCAGCACTGGAAATGACCAAGTAAAAGGTGGACAACCGCTGAGTAGGAATGTTGTTGAATAACTGTGGTAGTTTTCTCTTTAAGTGTGTAGGTAAAGTCCGAGAAAAACCAAACTGAGCTGCATGCATAAAGCTTGGAAGGGAAACAGAATAGTTACAAGTTAACCTGTTGGCTCTGGATTGCAGGATGACATGGCTGGAACTGAGAATGGAGGCGAAACAACAGGTGAAGAGGGTGAAACTGCGGAGAAAAGTGGAGGGGAAGTTCCTCCAGACGGGGAAGGGGAAACAGCAGAAGAAGGAAAAGATGAACATGAAGACAAAATTAAGCCAGAGGGAAAAGACTATGAAAGTGAAACTGAGGCAGAAGGAAAAGGTGAACAGGAAGATGAAATCCAAGCAGAAGATGGTGACATGCAAGGGGAAGGGGAAGCTGAAGCCCCAGAAGTCAAGTGTGAAAATCAGAAAGATGAAAATGAAATCCAAGCAGAAGATGGTGACATGCAAGGGGAAGGGGAAGCTGAAGCCCAAGAAGTCAAGTGTGAAAATCAGGAAGACAAAAATGAGAAAGATGCAGATGGTGAGGGGGGCAGTGATGGAAGTGACACTGAGGAGGACGATGAAGAGGAAGAGGATGAAGAGGATGAAGAGGAGGAAGAGGGGGAGGATGAAGAGGAACACGAGGAGCCTCTGTCCCTGGACTGGCCTGAGACCAGGCAGAAGCAGGCCATTTACCTCTTCCTCTTGCCCATTGTGTTCCCACTGTGGCTGACGGTGCCCGACGTTCGGAGGGAGGTGAGTGTACCCAGTCCCTCTCCAGGTGTCTCCAGGGCTCAAGAGGCAGCAGATGGGAAAGGCAGCATGGCAGGGCACTAGCCCTGTGAGGAGGTGGGATGCAAATGTGGCTCTGGAGGGGATCCTGCTTGGGGACATCCATGGGATTGGGGGCCTCAGACCATACTTGTATCCTAGGTCCACCATCACATGCAGCACTTGTCTTGGCTTCTTGATTTGTACTTGGGAATGACGCCACTGCATAGCTTTGGCATTTCATGGGGGTATTCTGAGAACTGGGGGTGACAGCTGCTATTTCAACATTCTTATTTGAAGGGAAAGGTCTAACGTCTTCCACTCAAAGGCAGCTCCTGTTCTGTCTCTGGGGCAAGAGGGGATGTGTGTGGGGGGTGCAAAAGCCCAGCTGAATGCCTAGACGGGTCTGCTGCTGGGCCAGCAAATAGTCTACTTCAGTCCAGTGGCTGCCGGGCCCTTCTCTGGGCCTCCTGACCCCAGTTCTTGCCCATCCATCTTAAGGCCCTCCTGGGAGAGGGCATTTCTGGATCATTCTCCAGGGTCCATTGAAGGGCCAAAGGCCTTCAGCTTCTATGACTTATTTTTTTTCCTTTTTCAACTTTCCTACAGGAGTCTAGGAAGTTTTTTGTCATCACCTTCCTGGGATCCATCATTTGGATAGCCATGTTCTCCTATCTCATGGTGTGGTGGGCTCACCAGGTGAGTGAACAGCAGAAGTCACTCCTGTGCCAGCAGGTCACAGGGTCCCCTCTGCACCTCCAGATTGCGTTCCAGCACTTAGTGATTATCAAATATCAAGTGGACGTGTGCAGTTTCTACCTTACTCATAAAAGCTCAGAAAGCATAATTTTTTTATTCCACTGAGGGCTCCTTAGGGTGGCTTTCCTGTCTTAGATGACGTCCCTACCATAGCAGGTCAGGGGGTCCTGAGTGTTCTGACCGCAGCCAACTCTGTCCTCTTACCTCTTTCCCTGCTTTCTCCCCTGTGCTGACAGTCAGCTCAGCTCTGAGTGCTCTGGCACGTCGCCATCGAGCACTCATGGCTTCCATCTGGAGCTGCGTGTGGAACTGTACGACTGCCAGCCTTCTCACCTGGCTCTGTGGGGCTCTGCTCATACTTTATCAGCCCGAGTGCCTGGCACACAGCAGGGCCCCCACTTCCGACATGGAAATGCTAACTCGCATACGGCTTCAGAAGGGCAGTTCTTAGGGGAACTGCTGGAGACGGTGAGGGGCAGATCCGGTCTCAGGCTTAGTCCAGTATAGAGAAGGCAGCGCGGGTTCCCTGTGGCCTGGAGCAGGGTCCTCCCTCTTTCCCCTGTGGCCACTTCTGGTCCTCAGAGTGCTGAACTCCTAGGAAGGTGCTGTTAGTACAGTAGCACGCAGTTAGTTCTTCACCTGCTGTTGCCATGGTTTTTGTGACTGCTGCTGTTTTTTAGGTTGGTGAAACAATAGGGATTTCAGAAGAGATCATGGGCTTGACAATTCTGGCAGCAGGCACATCAATTCCTGACCTCATCACCAGTGTGATCGTTGCTCGGAAAGGCCTGGGAGACATGGCTGTGTCAAGCTCAGTGGGCAGTAACATATTCGACATCACTGTGGGGTGAGTGGCAGCGCTACCTTCCAAGGCATATTAGATACAACTGGAGCACACTGCCTTGCCTCTGTTTTCTGGATTTCTGCTTCATTCACTGTGCAAAAGGGGTATTTATGTTGCTAGTTTCTCCAAAACAACAAAGTAGGCCCTTGTCTTTCAACACAGCCAGTTGGAAATAATAGAACTAAAATGCTGTCTGAAGCTACCCACGGTACAGAGGTAGGAGGATCCTGAATTTGAGGCCAGCCCAGGCAATTTAGCAAGACTCTATCTTAAAAAGAAAAAAAAAAAAAAAGCTGTCTGAAATGTAACTGATTGAAATTTGCAGATGAATTGAAAAGTGGAGTCCATTTCATTTTAAAATATAGTCAAGTACAGACGCTGACGGTGGTGGAGGGGAGGCTGAAAGGGATCATTTCAGTCTTGATCCTGCGCTTTTCATGTGGCCTCCTGCTGGGCCAGCAGCTCTCAAATGTCTTCTTTACCCATCCTTTTCCCAGCCCCCATCTTGTCAGAGGTTATTTCCACTTCCCCAGCAAGTTCTGGACTTGGTCCTTCAATCTGTAGGTGTAGGTGCGTATTAGTGGGGTGGTAGTAAAAAGGCATACGAGAACCCTGGCCGCTAAGGAACCAACTAAATCAGCTAACCTGGGCCAGTGATAGAAGTCCTGAAGCTGTCGGGGGAAAGGCCAGCTCAGAACCAGCGTGCTCATTTTCATCTGAGCTCTCTCACTCCCACAGCTCTCTCACTCCGAGTTCTCAGACAAGCACTTGAATTTCCTGGCACCTTAAATTTCATCATCTATAAAGTGGGGCTAATAATTTCTGCTTTACTTTGTAGCTTTGTGCATGTATAAAAAGTGCCTTACAAACTTAAAATGCCAATTAAGCAGATGGAATTCTTACAAACATTACGAATATTCACACTGTTTCTTAATCTGCAGCCTGCCAGTCCCTTGGTTGCTTTTCTCCCTTATCAACGCGTTGCAGCCAGTTCCTGTCAGCAGCAATGGTTTGTTCTGTGCGATTGTCCTGCTTTTCCTCATGCTTCTGTTTGTCATCTCTTCAATTGCATCGTGCAAATGGAGAATGAACAAGATCCTGGGCTTCACCATGTTCCTTCTTTACTTTGTGTTCCTGATCATCAGTGTGATGCTAGAAGATCGAATCATCTCCTGCCCTGTGTCTGTCTGAGTCAAGGCTGACCTGTGCACAAAGGACGTGGGGGGAACCGGGCCAGCAGTTCCTGGACCTGTCGTCAGAGTAAGGATAACATGATCCAGGACAGTGGAGCAAGCAGCCCAGAGTCTCTGGTGACAATGTGACTTGGGCCTGACCCACATCTTTGGAAACACCTGCAGCTCTCTGTGGATTAAGGAACCTCGTGCCTGGAGGTGGCAGCTGTACCCCAACTCAAGCACACAGCTATCACATGGAGGCAGGGGGAACCCTGCAGCCAGACATGGGGGAGGGACTGCACAGCAGCAATAACCTGAGCTCTCTGGCTCACATTTAGTTACCTGGTCGTTCCCGAAGAGCCCCTGCCCAAAGATGCCCCTGACCATTTAGATGGGTCTAAATCTCACTTCCTGGCCCTGCCCAAGCACACACTGCAGTTTGCTATGTCCTCTCTTTCTGTTCAAAGGTGAATTTCTATGAGGTTTGCAATCACTACAGATTTGGTTATTATACGGCTAAGGCTACGAGAAAAAATGGGTAACAGAATCAGTTAGCATTTTTCATCAATCCAGTGAAGTATACACCAATATTTTCTAGCTTAAAGGGAAGGCATTAGCTTTTACTGTTGCATTTCTGGAAGGTGAAATTCAAACACAAAACAGAGAAGTGAAAATTTAATTTTCTTTTGATTTGGAAGAAGTGGAGAACTGAAAAGTACTCTAAGGGCTATTTAAAAATCTGTACATACTAGGAATTCATGTTGCCTCCATCAGTGGTCACCTGAGGGATTAGGCACTGAGCTGCCACGGTTCTCATTGAGCAGTGATGTGATTTTAAGGAGCTCAAAGTTGGCAGACTCACATCTGGTTTATAAAGTAAGTGATCTAGTGGGGCTGTTCTATTTCTTGTATGTCAACTTTGACAGGATTATAAGGCGGGAAGACATTTCTTGTGTGGCTTAGAAGTGGATTTTAAGGCAGTTTACACAGGGGAAATTCCAAAAGTAACACAATGAGAAGATAAGAAAAAAAAATCAGTACTTCTAAGTTAGCTACTATAAAAGACATGTGTTATCATAAACATTTGTTTAAACATTTTATGTGGATTTTGATAGCTTCATGTCACTGGTTTCAGAGCAAAAGGAGCTTAGGTGACCTCAGATTATGATGGCAAATGTGGTTTTAATTACAAGTATGAGGGATAATTCACTAAAGCAAGGGATGGTGGGAAAAAGTGATGTTAAAAAGTGTCAATCATTTGGTGTGGATGGCTATGGTGTGCGAAGAACTCCATCTTTTAAGATGAACTGGTTCATTTAATTAACTGTCTCATTGCTTTGAGGCCCATTCTTTGCAAGTAATTTTTATTAAATTCCAATAAAAATTGTGCATTCTAGTGGTATTATACTTTATAAACATCGGTGGGCTCGTTCCTCTTATGTCATTTGGTCAGGATGGTAAAGCATATGAAATTGCTGTTCTTCATTCTTGCTGCTATACTACAGTGTCTCCATATGCCAGGGCCTAAAAGGACACAAGAGGACAGAACAAGGCCTGTGGAAATGCCAGACTGCTTGGTGCTAACCTGGAGTCTGCATCAATTCCAGGTGACCTTGCGAACATCACCTCCTCACTGACAGCCTCAGATCTGATGCTGCTGGTGAGACTGAGTGAAGAGGGATGGGCAGTCAAATGTTCTGTAGGGACAGTGTGCTAAGATGTCCACTTAATAATTAAAGCCAAAATTGGGTCCCTGCCTATAATCCTAGCACTAAGGAGGCTGAGGCAGGAGGATCTCTATCCTGAGTTTGAGGCCAGCTTGGGCTACATAGTGAGATCAGGGCCAGCTTGAAGTACACAGTGAGACTCTGTCTCAATACTAATACTAATACAAATACTACTACTAATAAAATAATAATTAAAGTGACTTTCATCATCTAAGATCCTATTCTCAAACAGTGAACTAAAATTGTGGCACTTTCCTTTGCTTCCAAAAGAAGTTCTGAGGGCTGGCTAAATAGCTCAGCAGATTAAAGTGCCTATAAGCAGGCACAGGGGTCAGGAGTTTGATCCCTGGGCCTGCCATGTCAGCCCTGCCCCCAGGGTACGCTGAGACTGTGATTGAGACTGGGCATGGTGGCGCACCCCTATAATCCCAGCTCTTGGGAGGCTGTAAGCAGGCGGATCACTACAAGTCTGATCTAGTAGTGAGACCCTAAACACCCTGTAGATCCTTCCCTAAAATACAAAACAAATAAAAAAGTTCTGTTACTATACATTATAACAGGAAAGTTCAAGTACAAAAATGAAAGCTGAGTCTTGGTAGATGGGTAAGAAATTCCAGGTTTGGGAGGTGAGATTTCAGGGAGATGGAAAACGTGTAAACTTCTTTAAAAAAAATCAATTTCTTATGACTGGAAATGAAACTTTTGTTGTACATTTACAAATCTGTAACTTACTAAAATTATGCCTTTTAGAGGTAAAGTACATTTAAAAAATGTGAAGATATATTGTTTGATCCTCTCACCTGACAGGCCAAGTGATCTGTAAAGTTACCTGGGGCACATTCTAGGTTACTGATTCACCTAGACAGTCTGAACATACCAGGTTGGTGTCTGAACGCACGGGCTAGTGCGTGGGGGACTTGTTCCCCCCCCCCCCGTTGCATTTCCTCCATGGCCCTCATAACAGGTTTGCGCTAGATTTCTGAAAGTATGAAAAGGATTAAGATCATATAGTACCTGAAAAGAGATCTATGCAAAAATTTTGAAAATTGGAATGTGTTTAAACTGTTACTATACATTTTGAACATTATACTACTGTCATCAATAGATCTGAAAATAATTTTTAAAAAATCACATTGGAATTTTTTAAAATAACACTGCTTATATCACAATTACAATTTAAGATCTGAGCACCCGAAGTGCACAGGGATTAGCGTTTAATACTTAGGTCACAGCCTGGTAGATAAACAGATATAAACTGATGGGCCAATGAACACCTGTGGTTCTGACCCTTGTTTGTGGGAGGGTCCCCTGCAGATGCAGCCTGCACTGTGCTCAGGGACTTGTCACAATAAAAGATGCAAACACAGGGCCTACGGACAGGCCCATCCACTGCTCTGGGTTACGAGCGCTTGGCAGGATCCCCTGGCATAAGTCTCTCACACAACAAAAGTGCATTTCTGGCGTTCAAATCCTTTACTGTGATGAGCAGAGGAAATCCGGGGAACTTCAATTATACAAAAGCCCATCAGTTAGCCCATCAGTTTGTCACAGTAGTACATTTGAAAAGAAAATCTTGAAATCCAAACAAGGAGCCACCCAGAGGAATGGCAACTGTGGAAAGGTAGCAACAGCTTTTTCAAAAGTCTGTGACCACCTCAGAATATAAGCACATGTGTACAGACTTTCACAGAGAGGAAAACTCCTGTGTTGACTTGACACTGGTACTATTATACTCCCAAACAATTCCTCGAACAAATGGGCCTTTGCTGAGGTCAGAGGAAGAAGGCGCAGTACTATGAAAGGATCAGAAGACATTAAGTACGGAAAATATTAAGGGAACCTGGCTTGCAGCTGCTGGAGTTAATTCTGAAATAAAGCTTGGGGCTGCATCCAAGCAGGAAAGGGCAGAGCCTGCTAACTAGCACGAAGGTCGAGGGGGCTTCGGAGAGGCCGCCTGTTCTCTCTACTCTTGTTCTGAGTGAGACTGAAGTGCCCAACTGCAACTTTTTATGTGTTAGTGAAGGAAACAAAAATAAAGCTGGGCTGTTGCACATTATCAAGCGAGTATTTTCTTTCCATACACTACCAAGTATTTATAAATACAGCACAACTTCTAAAATATAGTAGTAATTATCAGCACTAAATAAAAACAATAATTTATTGTCTAAAATGTTGAGCAAACATTTTCTAGGACTATTTCTCTACATACAAAAATGGGGACACAGTAAAAAACCTTAAAATAAGCCTGTGGTTTTAGGCTTTTAAAGGAAAAAACACACTTCAGAAGAATCAGAAAAGAAAAAAAAAGACAAAATGAGAAGATGAACAGGAGCCTAAGACAGTAGGAAAAAGTTGAAATCTGAAATATGATATAAAATATTAAAGAGTGAATGGCATAGTGAGAAGTAAGCGACTGTTACTAATACAGAGCATGATTTATTTTTAACAATTAACATATAAGCAAAACTAAATAAGAAAATAAGATAACATAGTAAAAGGGCATCTCTCTCAAACATCAGTGGCCATGATTCTTCAAAATGTATGGCTGACAGCAAAAACTGAAAGGTTTGTATAGAGTTCTTTAAAGGATGATCCCTGCTGTAATTCTCTTTGAAGCAGGGTTTATCATTTTCCACTCATATTTCGGGTTTTCTTTTTGTTTGTTTGTTTATTTATTATTATTTTTGAGTGCTGGGGATTGAACCAGCTCATGCTAGGCAACTGTCCTATCTCTGAACCACATCTCCAGATCTAGGTTTTATTTTTCAAGACTTTCTGTAGTAATATTCTCTGGGGATTAAAAACAGAGGAAACAAAACTCTACCCAAAATCAAAAGCAAAAACAAAACTCAGAATTGGAGGGAGGAGAAAAAATTACATTCACTTTTCTTTTTCTTTTTTTTTTCGGAACCGGGAATTGAACTCAGGCCCTTGCGCTTGCCAGGGAAGCACTTATTCCATTGAGCAGTCTCCCCGGCCTCTAAATTCACTTTTCTAAGTGAGTTTTAGAAAGAACGGGCTTTGCCACACACTCTTTTTGTCAGATATCTGAAACCAATAAAGTATGATTTCTGAATATTGTTTGTATTAAAGAAAAAGCAATAGCGCCAGCTATTCTTATTTTTTTTTTAAATATTTATTTATTTATTTATGTGTGTGTGTGTGTGGCCAGCTCAGCCCACCAG